TGAGTGTTAGTGAGTTATTGAAAAAGTACCGCGGATACTTTTTAGATGACCCAATATAATGCCAGCAATTCTTTAAATAATTCCAATGTCATTCTGAAATAATTGAAGAATTTCTCACGATCGTTTGCATTTCATTTAAATTGTCACTTGCGCCTTGGAGACGCCTCATTCTTTGTGTAAACATTAACTGTAGAATTTTCGTTTTCTTATATATTGGGTCATCTAAAAAGTATCCGCGGTTTTTCTTATTTTATATATTGGGTCATCTAAAAAATATCCGCGGTTTTTTGTCACTAGATGTGTGTTGATGGTCATATATCTAGTGACAAAGTACCGCGGATACTTTTTAGATGACCCAATATAATGCCAGCAATTCTTTAAATAATTCCAATGTCATTCTGAAATAATTGAAGAATTTCTCACGATCGTTTGCATTTCATTTAAATTGTCACTTGCGCCTTGGAGACGCCTCATTCTTTGTGTAAACATTAACTGTAGAATTTTCGTTTTCTTATATATTGGGTCATCTAAAAAGTATCCGCGGTACTTTGTCACTAGATATATGACCATCAACACATGTCTTTTTAGATGACCCAATATATAATAGCGAATACTTTTTTTTGGATTTAATTGGATTCTTCTTCTAATATTTCTTTATTGCAATAAAACGTTATAAGCGAAATAAAATTTTCGCACACTCTTAAATATCGGAATAGCACGCCAACTTGGCACATTTCTTGCCTTTCGCAATAATTTTAACATTAGTAATAACACTATTTTTTCATCCATCATTGTAGATGGATATAAAAAAAATTTCTGAATATATTCGTTTCAATTTTTAAATTCAACCAACTCAGCTAAACATGCCATTCCATTCCGTTCAAAAATGTTCTCTACCGTCTTATGTCGCTGGAACGCAATGGAATTTTAGTAACTAAATATTGGGTCATCTAAAAAGTATCCGCGGTTTTTTGTCACTAGATGGTGTTGATGGTCAACATATCTAGTGACAAAAAACCGCGAATACTTTTTAGATGACTCAATATATAACTATATGAAAATAGATTATGAAAAAATTTTTTAAAAGTATAAATGAAACCATTAATAGTTTCATATAAATAAAAGATTGATAGATTCATATATTGGGGCATCTAAAAAGTATCCGCGGTACTTTGTCACTAGATATATGACCATCAACACACATCTAGTGACAAAAAACCGCGGATACTTTTTAGACGACCCAATAAATAAAAGTAAAAATGGGTACCTTAATAATTGCAATGTGTAAAAGTACAATCCACTAATAAAATTTGTAGTGTCAAATAGTAAAAATTAAATCCGAAGTGTAATATAATGTAATATAAAATGCACCAATAATATTACAAATAATTCAATATTATAAAAATATAATTTTTTATCTGTTAATGGTATTTTGGAAAACGAAATGGGTTTCTTTTCTTCAATTGTTACTTTAAAACTCCCATACATGAATTATTTTAAAAATTATATGAAAATATATTTGATCTAATATACGTTTATTATTACTTATTTCGAAAAAAAAACTATGAAAAAAAGAAAAAAAAGCAGGATTCGATTTTGAGATCTCTAGCATTTCGATCTCATATCTTACGAGCTCGACTACATCTGTATCTCACAACGCGAGATACAAGTTACTAAAGCCATCTATTGGAAAAATAATGGATTTCTTTTTACTACACCTAATATAACGCTCATAAAAAAATCATAAATAATTAAATATCTCGTAAATTATTGCGTTTTGACATGATTTATTTATATTATTCTGGATTGATGGGAGAGGTATACTATTACAATTTATTAAAACTTATTATTTAGAATGCCTCTCGCTTCTTATTGATATATGCCGAGCGACTAAGGTTGCCGAGAAAGCATTTTTGATCACTTGAAACAAGCGACCAGAGCGAAAAAGACGCTGTCTCATTCGTTCACAGCGCGCCGAAGGCGAGCACACGGACATGGGCTCGTGCATGTGTGTGGCTCTGTCTGATTCTGTCGCCATCATCAACGCAGAGTTCTTGTGTATTGAGAAGTATTCTTAATCTCAAAAAATAATATTAAATATGTATCGATAAAATGAGTTTCCATAAAAATTTTTTACTTTGTAAAAAAATCTAATAAGTATAAAAAAGGCAAGATTTCTCGCTCCATCAATGAACAGTTTTGTGTGGATGCAAATGTGAAAGTATGGGAGCAAAAAAAGAAATGATAAGGAAATGACAAGAAATCGAGAACTTGCTCGTTATATTTTTCAATAAAAAATTTATTTGTAATTAATTCGAATTAAAGATTAAATGTTATAATATACATGCAAAGAAATCGCGAATCTTTTCTCTTAATTAATACCTTTTTTTGACATTATTTATATATATATTTGCAAATTACGTTTCTTCACATTTCTTTTCATCTTTTCCTGTAATTATATATGGAAATTTTTCAATATATATATATATGGATTCAAGATATATATAGGGATTTTTCAATGTAGTGACATGTACCAATTAAATATTAGATATAAAATTCTCAAAACTCAAGATATCCTGCTAAAAACAATAAAATGTCTATTTTTGTTTAGATCATCGTTAACTATGGAGGTATATATAGCCGGTCATAGAAAAGTTGCAGAATGCAGCTTGCTCACCAAACGATTCATAGATCCACAAATAAGAACCAATCGTTGGGTTAAATAGACATTCCGAAACCCGAAAAAAGTGCAACCTTTCTGTGATTGGCTGTACAGGATGTCACGTAATTTTATGCAAAGCGTTTTTGTATAGATAGAGCAAACTAAACTGAGTCGAGAAGTTCTTTACCATTTTGCAATTTTCAAAATGGTTAACGAGATATGAATTTATAAAAATAGCCAAATTCACCCGGTCTACTGCCAAATGCAAGCGCGCGGCGAAATAGGACCGCCCAGAGAGTTGTGCCAGATTCTGGTTTACGTTATCACTTGGTAATGCGTGATAGAAGAAGAATTGGAGCAGTCGCCATAGTAATAGCTATGAAGTTATAGCTATCGGCAACTGCCTCCACTCTTCCCCCCACATATTATCAAATGGTAGCGCAAGCCTGTGATGAAAATTTGACTCCGCACAACACAGAGAATCAGCCTCTTCACTTTTGCTCTAATAAGTGATGTCGCGCTCGACCAGCTTCGGCGCTGAACGAGCAAAGCAGCAATAGCATGCTATCTTTTTCGCCTTCCTTTTTGTCTGAAGCACGATGGCATTTGGTGGAGCAAAAGTGAAGGGGCTGATTCTCTGTCACGCGGAGCCAAATTTCCATCACTGGCAAACTAGAATCTGGCACCACTGCAGAGATATATGGAATGCATTCCGAGTTACACATAAAGAACATGAATCGTTTTATCTTTCTTTATTTGGTAAACAATAAGGACCAATGATGCATTATGTGCTTTATGCATAACTCGGAACGCACCCATGTTCTTCATCGCTAGGCATATTGTTTATAAGCGACATTGGCATTAACATACCTAGTGACAGCGCGCCTCGTTGGGCTTATCTCGCAGTCTGCTTATATTTGGTGGTAAACCGAACGAATTTGATTACTTTCTTAAATTTTCATTAACTATTTCAAAAATTGCAAAACAGTATAGAACTTTTTGACTCAGTTTAGTTCGCTCTAGCAACACAAAAGCGCTTTGCCAAAAATTGTGGGACACCTTGTATAAATATAAGTTTTTAACGACAATATGTTGGCACTGTCACTTTAGGGCGTTTTTTGGATTCCATTTCCGAAAAGAATTCTTTAATATCTTCTTCACGTACAACTTTCTTGTTTTCAGCAAACTTCTGTAGGTATTGCATTAGCCGTTCTTTCATATTGTTATATTCTGTAAACAATTATGAACAGTTAATTAGCTTAAACATTAGTGAATACACATTTTCTGAAAAATTTAATTTGAAAAAAATTTATTATTATTTCATAGAATATTTTTAATCTCAGAGTTTTACCTTCAATCGCTGTCAGCTTTTGTACATGTCCCATGCTAGCAAGAGCTTTCATGCCTTTTTCGTATTGAGATTCCTGCTTATTCATTTTTCCTGCTTCCTCATATGCTTGTACACTGTCTTTTGGATCAAGTAAAAATGCAATGCCTTTTGCATTATATAACTGCAATAACGATAAAAAATATAATAAAAGATTGTCATAAAAGGACGCATAAATCTTTTAACAAATATAATATGTTAATAATAACAAAAGTATACGAAAAAAGTCAATATCTCACTGATTTGCATTCGTCGCAAGTGCACAGTGCGGTTCTCCAACCTTCTATCCAAAAACAGCTTCCTTTAGTATCTGCACAGCTAAATTTTGGCATTTGACATCCTTTGGACAACTCACTGATGTTTATTTCTTCATTTTTTTCAGATACATCCAATTTCACATCTGCTTTCTTTAGGACTACTTGTAGCAAAATAACACATTCATAAGCTTATAATTAAATACATTAAAAATAATAATTTACGATTCAGTTTGTGTAGGTATCACAAGAGTCCAAATAACCTGCATGTTTCGTTGCATATTTCCACAGAAAGTTGTGTTTCTTCATACAGCCTGCACATATCATTTCATCATAAGCATTATCTGCTGGTGCATTGTTATCACATTCCAAATGCTAAAAAAAATCCTTTTTAGTCCTTTAAAGTTTATCTTCATTAAAGACATATATACATAGAATAAATCTTTTAGAAGTTAACCCAATCAACAACACTTTACTTTTTGTTTTTATTATTTTTTTTTATCTTTTATCTTGTGGATACTGTGGATACTCTCACTTTGACTTTTCTAAAGTTTATTTATATATAAATTCTTTAGACAATTAATATGAAGTCCAAAAGATGTTAATATACATACAAGTATATACAGATTTTGTAATTTACCTTCAAATGATACCAATCTTCACATATTATACATTGTAGCATGTCATCTTCATCACCTTCTGGATCAGGATATGGTCTTGCACAGATGCAATAAACACCATCAAAATTCTGATTGTATTTATTTTCAGTATTGATAGCAGATTTTAGCTAGAAAGCACAATAAGCAATAGTCAATCAATGCAACATAATTTTATATAAAACATATAAAAGTATATAAGTAAAAGATCCATTACTTTCTCTAGATTACATTGTTTGCCATCAAACTTAGTATTTCCACAGTCGCATCTGAAATGTCGCTTTGTATACAGTTCTACAAGTTCATGGCCTTCATGACAGTGAAAGCTACATGCCAAACAGACGGCAGCTCGAATTTTGTCTAAGCAACATGTTTTACACGCGTACAACGCCTGTCTTATATATCCCTACAAACAGTTGTAAATAAACAAACTAATTAGTTAAATGGAGAACAAAACTGTAAAATGCAAACTGTCACAGGCAAAAGATCAAAAGCATTGCTACCTTACTGTAAGTACAATTCTGGTCGTCGGATGCGCCTAGAACGGCATATGCATCCTCTTCAAGCTGATTTTCTACCTGGAGAACATCAAGCATTGTGACGGAGCTGTCGTCCTCCACAGATTCGGCTAACTGATCAGACATATTTCCGATTTCGTTGCGATTCATGAAAAAAAAATGCGACGAGAAGGTCTGTCTACCGCGGAGTCGTAGGGTGAAGAGATTCGAAGTCGGGATCTTTGCGAGCGTCGAAGCAATCCGTTAAAAACGCGGAAGGTTAGAGCGAACTGCGAACGTCGAACGATTCACGGACTGGCAGCGACGCATTCGATGTGACGCATCTTATCGACCTTTTATTCGTTCAATGTTTTTTTCGTTCAATGAAGTCCGATCCTCCTTGTAACGAAGGAATCGCACGCCTTCTCACCCGTGCATCAGGATCTTAAATGTAAGCACCGATGGGCCAACGGGTAACGAGTATCTTGTCGATGACATATATCGCAGTATATACAAAGGTTGTGGTCGAACTGTTGAAGTCTCACTACAAACTTTGAAGCGTTTGATCGACCAATTAGAAGAAAGAACTAACTGACGCTTCAAAGCGTTTGCAACATCGCATTGCCCATACCCAAATAGTGCAACTCTCTGGGTGCGTTCCGATATTCACTGCCAATGCTGAAACTATATATTGTACAATACATTATATATACATTATATATATACAATACATTGTATATATATTGTACAATACATTACTATAGATTTGTGTACTATAAATTTTCAATACTGCAGTGATTATCGAAACGTACTCTCTGTCGGTACCTTCGATGTCAAGATACCTTACATGGCAGCGTCAAATATCAAAGGTCAGAGCACACGCAATTGCGCAATAATAATAGCTGTGTTCCAAAATTCACTGCCAGTACTGAAAATGTATAATAGACGTAACGTAAACTATAGATTTTCAGTGAATTTGCTGGCAATGAATTTTGGAATACAGCCTATGTGTTTAAAGGTGCTGTCCCATGATGCGTATAGCCGTACGCGAATACGTTTACGCGCGATTCGTTGCATGGGATATGGGCCTTAGGTTTGTTTGCATTACATACCCAACGCGCTCCAATACGTTCGCATCCAATACTGGTCCGGAATCAGTATTGGCTCCTGCACATTGGACACGGAAACGCTTGCCGCGCGACAAATGAGACGCGGTAACCAATGAACACATTAGAAGCTGTAAGCTTATTAGCTATCACATTACATTTTGCCGCGCGTTTTTCAGTGTGCAAAAGCTATATAGCAATTATATGTTCGCATCTCGTTAAGTCTTAAACACTATGGGTACTTCCCACACGATAACACAAGTCGACATAAGTCGATTCGAATGTACATGATCAGACAAACCCTTCAGTTGTAAAAATTACTATTTTAAATCGTTTGTATTTCGTATGAAAAGTTTGGAAGTGCATTGAAAAGGTTTGTGAGTCAGGATGCGATTACATGTAGCGCGATACGCGCTACAAAAACCAACTAGATTTTACTCTATATGCTGTAGTATATACATTACGTATTATATTAGGTCATCTAAAAAGTATCCGCGGTTTTTTGTCACTAGATGTGTGTTGATGGTCATATATCTAGTGACAAAGTACCGCGGATACTTTTTAGATGACCCAATATAATATATTTCGAATAAAATTTTCCTCAGAGAAGAAGTTTTGGAACATAATCTAGGTAACTATAGGAAATCGTGTCGCTTGCTTCTTTTCTCCTCTTTTACTGTAGCGCGGTAAGCAGCACTAGTGACAAATAAACTTTAATATGAATTTTTTAAAATATATTAATTTATTTTTATGCCCACATTTCATTAACACTTATATTTTTTCACCGAATTTACTTAATAATTGTATTTAAATCAATTAATTCTATTAAAAAGTGCTTAATGATGTGAATTTGTCACTGGCCCGTGCCATTTATCGCATTACATGTAAGGATGCCGTTCCATAACGCGTATCGCCGTATGTATTCGGTACACGTATCGAAAGATTTGATGATCCGTCGTTTTATGCATGATCTACAATAAGCAGTAGCAGTAGTGGATTAAAGAATAGGCGTAGAAATCAATCAATCATAGTCAAATGTGAGGAGGATAATCAATGATTGGTTGATTTCTACGCTTATTCCTTAATCCACTACTGCTACTGCTCATTGTAGATTATACATTACGTACACGATAATTGTGTCCTTAATGTCCCATGGAGCGGTTCGTGCCCCAGCAAACGAGAATGGATTAAAATGGATTCAGATTTTCAGAAATAGGGATTTATGAATGTTAAAATAAATCCTTTTTAATCCTGAATGTATTTTTATTCATTTACAGAAATTGCATAGAGCATATCTCTATGCCTTTCAATCTAAAAATAGTATTATAGTATTTTTTTATGCATTATGAATGCTACTCAATTCAAAATTGTGAATACGAAATGCAGTTTTTCAATTCAGTTGAATTTAAAAATGTCAATCATTTCTGTGCACCATGAATACTGCTTAATTCAAAATTTTGAATAGGAAATGCAGTTTTTTATTTCAATTGAAAAAAAAGTATTTCTTTTAAAATGAATCATAAATGCTACTTAAATTATTTAAAATTATAAATAGGAAATTTTTCGTTTTAATTCAATTAAGTTCAAAAAAGTTGTAACGTAATGATTGAGCTATATTCTTTTGTTTCGCTTTGATTAGAAATAAAATGAATGATCAATGTGAATACTCGCAAATCAAGTCGAAGACAGCCCGAATATTACGCTGATCACGGCGCGCGACATCAGCTAAACGAGATTTATAGATTATCCGACACTTACTCAATGCTGTCTTATAGTAATGTAAATTGATTATATCTGTTAAATAATGATATTTTTATCATATCTATATAATTTCGTGCACTGGTTTAGCTGGTTGAAATCGAGAATGAATAACACGTTTATCAATTGAAAAAGTGGTGTACGTAGAAGTGGGTAACGTAGAAGATTCATAATCCAGAGATCCCAGGTTCAAATCCCACTAAGGTGCATTTTTTAAGTAGAAACCAATTTTTTTTTGAAGTAGTTAATTTCAGGTTTATAATTATTATAAATGTCTTAGGAATAAAATTTGTAACCCTTACATATGAATGTTTCTTTTTTCGAATATTAAACTAATGTCAGCTCGGATCCAATCTATTTCAATCCATTCAATTTATTTTCATGGATTTAAAATATGTATTAAAAAATTTTAATCCATTTTAATCCATTCTCGTTTCTGGGAAGTACTTTTTAATAGAATTAATTGATTTAAATACAATTATTAAATAAAAGTTCGTTGAAAAAGTAAGAGTGTTGATGAAATGTATGTAAAAATAAGTTAATATATTTTAAAAAATTCATATTAAAGTTTATTTGTCACTGCCGCTTACCGTGCTACATATAATAGAGGCGAAAAGAAGCAAGGTTTGGGCGATTCCTATAATTACTTAGTTAATTTCCGTACTGCGTATCACGTACCGCGTTACATGTAATCACTCATTCTGTTAATTATAATTAATGTATCTTTTTTAGACCATGTATTTGACCGAAATAATCAGCCGGATAACAATGTTCACACATAGAATTGTTTGTATTTCGTATGTAGAGTTATGAAGTACCATTAAAAATATTTGTGAGTCTTCCAGACACTTTTAGTTAAATATTTAAATGTCATGTATTTGACAAAAATATAGATTCAGGCACTACGGTCACGGAAATTCCGTTAGATGCGATCGATAGTATCTCTCTAGTATTTCGGTACTCCTAGTTCTTTTCCGATCACATCATTCATAACAAAATTGCTCCGTTTAGTAGGAAAAATAATTGTTGAGGTTAGAAAATCTGTCATGGACAGAATGGGGTCATCAACGGGATACTATTAAAAATTGTCAACCTTGGGCAAATTTTCGGCAGTATAAAAAAGGCCCAAAGGGCCTGGAGATAATTGAAAAACGCTGACATTATTAACAATACAAATTTTATTGATACAAATTTGCTATTATTATCATAAATATTTGGCCCATACATTAATTAAATTCATGATTTTATATTACATAAATGTATTCTATAAATAAATATGCATACTTGTAAAACAATAACATTCTATATATTGCAGAAAAATTATAATTTTTTCTGTTTTATCATCTCTGTTGATAATCAAACTTTGATGATAGCACTAAAATCACAATTTTAAAGAACAATCGAACATTATTGAGTTATAAATGTATAAATACGTCTAAACTAATAAAGCATAAAATTAATACAATATTATTAGTTTTTAACTCTTAATCACTTCAATATTCACAAGGACGCAAACTCCTGTAAGGATGTCGGTTTTTAATAGTATCTCGTCAGTGGTGGGATATATAAACTAGGGCTACGCTACTCTGAATAAAAGAAAACAATAATACAATATATCCTATCCGCTTGGGACCTAACTTCCTAGAAGTTGCCTACAGCTCTAAAAAGACCGCTCTAAAAAGAGCTTTTCTCACACCCCACTGTTTTGGTGGGTTAGAAATATTCCAAACAGACATTGTCTTACGCTGCAACTTCTCGACGGTTAGCCCCAAGCGGATAGGATGTTTTTTTTTTGTTTGGGGCGACGTAGCCGCCCTGAACCAATAAGTACCAGTCTATAATCTATACACACTGTCTACTTCTACATAACAGATTTTCTAACCTCAACAACTACTTTTCCTATTGAACAGAAATATTCTTGTTATGAATGGTATGATAGGAAAAGAACCAGAAATACCGAAATGCTAGACTACCAATTGCGTCTAACGGAATTTGGTAATTATTCAGAAGATGCTCCTCACCTTCAATTTCAATGAAATTATGCTCATTTGATGCATTTTTGCATAAAATCAAAGAATCTGGCAGGTAAATGTTGTGTCTAGTCCCGCGAAGATATTTATCATTAAAGTTGATGACTATTTAGGTTAGAAAATCTATCATAGTCACGAAATACTGCGATGCGAGCATGCGCTGCGGTCGCGTTTTCATGACATTTTCATGCTCTAGAAATACTACTCTCACATTTCGAATTCCAAATGGATTTTTACTGTCTCTAAAGCCGATTCTACATTAGTTGCAAGGTGATCGAGTACGCTCTATTTGCCTCGCCTCAGAAAGTAATACGATTGGAGCATGTTATGCACGCATGCGTAATTGAAAATGTACTGTATCGAAAAAAGAGTATTTCGGATTTATTTTGTATAAAAACGCATTTAATAAATTTTTGATAAAAATATAAAAAATATATAATATAAAAATATAAAAATATATAATATACCAATATAATATAATATTATTATAATAAAATAAAATAATAAAATAAAATAAAATAAAAAATAAAATAAAATAAATAACACAATCACACTATAGAAATCAAAATCTTAAACGGTATAGCTGGATCTTAAAGGTGAAATCAGACCGGAATAGGACTGCGGAATACAGAATGCGTCATTAAAGCAACTAATAATCAGCGCTATTCCGCACTTTTCCATCATGCAAGTTTTGTGTGCTATGTTCACATGATGCGTCAAAGATGTATCCAGCGTGAATATAATTTAAATACT